GCTTGGCACAAAATATTCAACAGGATGAAAACCCAGGATCTACAATCAAGAATACTTTATCCAGCAAAGCTATCATTTAGAGTCGAAGGACAGACAAAAAGCTTCCCAGACAAAAATAAGCTAAAGAAATTTATCACCACCAAGCTAGTTTTACAGGAAATGTTGGAAGGACTTCTTTAAGATAAAAAAAACATGTATCAAAAACATGAATAAAAAATGGTAATAACTACATTCCTATCAACAAGTACCTCAAATGGAAAAGAATTAAGTGCTCCAACCAAAAGATAGTAGAGTGGCTGAATGGATAAGAAGATAAAACCTCAATATATGCTGCCTATGAGAGTCACTTCAGATTAAAAGACACACATAGACTAAAAGGAAGGGGAGGGAAAAGTTATTACCTTGATGGACCTAGAGAGTATTACACCGAATGAAATAAGTCAGACAGAGAAAGACAAATATCACATAATTTTATGTACATGTGGAATATAAAGAACAAAATAAACGACAACAACAAAAATGGAAATAAACTCATAGATACAGAGAATATTTTGAGGGCTACTAGATGGGAAGGGAATTGGGGGGAACGGCAAAAAGGGGCAAAGGGATTAAGAAGTACAAATAGTTACAAAATAGACATGGAGATATAAAGTGTAGCATAGAGAAAATAGTTAACAATGTTGTAATAAATATGTAAGGGGAAGAAGGGTACTAGATTTAGTGGGATGATCACTTTGTGAGTTATATAGATCTCTAATCACTAAGCTGTACAACTGAAACTATTATTGTATGACAACTATAATTGAAAAAAATTCATTGAATTGTGCAATGTAAATATGAGCAACTAGTTGTCTATTATATTTCAATAAAGCAAGAAAAAAATTAAAAAGAAAAAACTATTCTGTATGATAGTAAAATGCTGGATACATATCATTACTTGTCAAAACTCATAGAATTGTAAAACACAAAGGGTGACTCTAACCTAAATTATGGATTTTAGTCAATAATAATATGGATTGGCTTATCGGTTATAACAAATGTACCACACTAATGCAAGATGTTAACAGGGAAAGTATGGAAAGTCTGTCCAATTTTCTGTAAACCTAAAACTGCTCTTAAAAACTAAAGTCTATTAACTTTTTTAAAAAAGTAAAACTAGTCAATTGAAAGAAAAGTAGAAATAAAACAATATAGCCACCCTAATCTCAGCAGAAAGACTGTCACTGTTAGTACTTAGGGACAGTTCCTTCCAGTCTTTCTTCCAATCTTTTTTCAAATGTCTATATATATGTAATTTTTTAAAGAGTTGAAGCCGTTCTGCTAAATCCATTCTGAAAGATTATGATCTAGTTTTAGTTTGGATTTTTAACCGCAAAGAAAGTAGCCCCATAAAAAATATCAGTGATACCAAAAACAGATTATAGAGGGGCCAGTTGCTATGGGAATGATTGAAAATAAATTTTATTTCACAACTACACCCTGCTAATGTACTGACCAGAAGGAAGAAGAAATATTTGGAGTAACTTAGAAGAGCAGCCAAGAAAAGCTCTAATCAAGAAGAAGGAAAATACATCAGCCTAGTGAGGTTTCAAAGAGGCCAGTAGCGTTGCCCTACAATTTAACTAATTATGTCCTTTCAGCAACCATATAGATAGAGGAAGAAAGCACCCAGGAAATGGGGAGTGGAGTAGACTCTCTCTATTCTTCACTGACAGTTTGATGACCAAACAGGCAGCAGGCCCCCCTCAGGATATGACTTGTCTCTACAGGGTGGTGTAAGGCCAGAAACAAATAATCCCCCTTCCGTCCCATGGATTTAGCAAGCTGCAAAGCCTCAGCTTCAAGTCATCTGTTTGGACACTGCACTGACCCCCAGCATTGGAGTGGATCCTGGGGCCCCTTCTGTGCATGCTGGGTCTTGGGGCAGTCTGAAGGTTCTGGGGTAGGGATCAGGAGGCCAGAGGGTAGGGTACACTCAGGGAGCTCAGGGAAGTGACTATTTTCCAATCGAAGAATTTTAATACACGAAGAAGTGAGAAAGCCAGATTGGTGTGTAGTACCAACTGATTCTGACCTTCCTTCAACAAATAGTTTTATGAAAGACAAGCATGTATAGAACACACATCAGGGCAGCCTTGGAGGGGAAAAGCAGAGCTGCTATCACAAAAAGACAGCCAGTCATGTGAAGACAGGCGCCGCTTCCCACTTCAGGGAACGGCTCTGCTTTAGAGTCATAGATCCAGTTTCAGTCCCAGCTCTGCCATGCATTACCATGAATTATATAATCTCAGAATGCCTGTTAGCTTATCTTAAAGTGGGTATAAATATTCTTCCCTCATGAGGTTATAATAAAGATTACATGGCATAAGCCATGTGAGATGCTGAGCAAAATGCCCGGCACATAGCCCGTGCTCAGTCACATGCAGCGGCTATCACCACCACTACCGTCGGACGTGATCGTCTGTGCTACAGATCTATCTTCTTTTTTTTTTTCTTTCTTTCTTTTCTTTTTTTTTTTAACACAGCTGGTGGCCCCATCTGTCGTTCCTTGTCCATATTCCAATGTAGATGGCTGGTCACTATTGCCATATAAGGACAGAGTTGCCAAAGTGTGAAATATCAGGCAGTTAACCTTTTTTCTACAGCATCCTAGGAATGGCTCTGAACTCTGGAGAGAATGACTTGATGCCAAACCAACTCAAATCACAAAGCTACAAAGTGACAGACAGTCCAGATAAGAGCTTCTCAGTCAAAGCATGAGGATTTATGGTTAGAGTTGCCAGGCACCCCACGGCAGAGGAAATCCAGGGTTAGAGGAAATCTAGGGTTAGAGGAAACAGTGATCGATTGATTATCAGTATATGACACCATTTCCCAATGGTCCCCAGGTATACCTGGCTGTTTATTTTCTTTCTTTAAGCTTAGTTAAAGAATTCACATTGTCACTTTGAAAACATTTTAATATAGAAAGAGATAAATAATCAAAGCTATATCTGCCTCCATTTCCCCCAAAATGACCACCATTAACATTTGTTATATTTGCATCAAGCCCTTTTAAAAAATAAAGTTTGGCAGATAAAATTAAAGCCTATTTTCTTCCCTATCCCCAGATCTATTTCTTGCCTGCTCCCCTAATCATTGTTATGAATTTAATGTTTACCTAGGTCTACTTTATTCTTTGTTTTACCTAAATTTTCTGGGGTTTTTAATAGAAAGAAAATAAAAAGAAACACGGAAAATGTGATAAGTGAAAATGTCTATGGGAAAAGAGGCTTTGGAGTCACTGAACCTGTGCCAAGACACACCCACTCACCTGCTCCAGGAATAGCACACACTCATTACAGGTAAAGCCTGTTGGGGGGTAGGCTTGCAAATTCACATCTATAAATATCTGGAAAGCAAGGCAGACCCTGAAAGCCCATGTACTGAACTCCAAAGGCTCACCTGGGTCCAGGTGTGTGAAAGAGCCCACCACAAAGTCCAGTGTGGACACGGCCAGCAGGAGCAGCAGCAGCAGCTGGAGGCGGATGATCCATTTGACACCTGCTAGGTTAATCCCCAGCAAGGCTAGAAGCACCACAACTGAAATTCCTCGCACGGCCCAGATGTTCCTGAGGCTTAGCAAATCTGAGATGGATTCAGCGAAGCCGGTGATGTACATGGCACCTGCAACACACTGAAAGGAAATTCTAAGTAGGAAGAGTCAGCCAGAGAGAAAAGTATCAGGAGCCCATGGGCCCAAGCTGCATGGCACTGAGGATCCAGTTCACCCCAGAATGGGAACCAGGATGGGATTAAATGAGCCCTTTCTGTCTAGGAACCTTGCCTCGTGCCCCATTTCTTCTCTTTTAACTCTCTATCATCATCCAGAGAGGGAAACAAATGCTCACCCAAGCCTAGAGCCAGCCAATTGTCAGTGGTAACTAACATGGAAAGATTATGGGAAAAAGAAGATGGGACTCTGAGCCGAAGAGACCTTTGGACTTCTATGTCTGAGTTATTCAAGAACTAAACAAAGAACAAATTCTACCAAATGTTTAAATAAGAATTGACACCAGTCAATGGCCATGCCACCCTGAACACACCCAATCCTGTCTGACCTCGGAAGCTAAGCAGGGTCAGGCCTGGTTAGTACTTGGATGGGAGACCACCTAGGAAGGCCGGGCGCTGTAGGCGTTAAAAAAAAGAGAATTAACACCAATCCTTCACAAACATCCAAAAAATAGAAGGGGAACACCTCCCAGCTCATTCCATGAGACCAGCATTACCCTATACCAAAATTAGACCAAAATATCACAAGAAAACTACAGACCAATTTCCTTCATGAATATATATGCAATAATCCTCAACAAAATACGAGCAAACTGAATCCAATAGCATATAAAAAGAACTATGCAGCAACCACATCTTGATCAGAAAGCCCCCAGGTCAGCCGCAGATGAAGCATGGGCATAAGAAGACACCCACCAGAAGGGTGCCCGCCCATGCTTCTGACTGAGGCCCAAATAGAAAGCAAAGCAAACAAGGAAGTGGATGCAATGGCTGCTCTGACGGTAGCTGCCAGGGCTCAGAAAACATCTTTGTCAACAGCTTTTCTTCCAAGTTAGCCCACATACAAGAGACTCAACATCTCAGCTCCCTCTCTCTGTGGCAGGTCCTTCCCACTCGTTCATCTCTGGTCTCCTGTCTGTGGTATCTGCTTCAAGAGGCAAGCTTGTTGTCTATTCAGGGAGTGAGAAATGTGAGGATTGCTGTTTGTCCATCTTGCAGCCTGTTTGACTATAGAATAGCAGAAAAGTAAAAGCTCAACATACAAATCCCCAAGGTAATAAAATATACTGTTTATTACTCAGCTTCCTGTGCTTAAAGATCTTTCTTCAGTAAAGGCAAGTGGTTTTTAACAATGCAGTGACAAATGTCTGCCTTCCATGCATCTCCACACACACACACACACACACACACACACACACACACACACACACACACACACACACAGCTTTGTGCCGTTGGAGAATCAAATGTATTTATGCTAAAATACCCTGCCCCTGCTGCTGAAAAAATAAAAGAAACAAAATTGTGGCTTTCTTTGAGGACACTCTTGTAGTCTTACTTAGACAAATTCTTTTCTTTAAGCTGTTTTTCAACCACCCACTACCCTTTCCACAATCATAAAAGCCTTTTTCAAGCCAAGAAAAGTGCCTTACAAAGAGCTGTTTCTTAATGTCTGCACTTGTTACCTCCATATTAGGTCACCATTCCTATGTTTCAGCTAAATAAGCATCAGTATTTCTCCCTACTCACTGGTTTTCTGAAAGCCTTCAGCCACCCTGGTGACACAGTCTCCTCATTAGTATTCTCCTTCTCAGACAGACGTTCACGCAGGGGCTTCCAGCCTCCCTGTGACGGCCATCAGGCTATTGATGCACCTAGAGCTCCAGCTCATTTGAGCAATGCCTG